GGAGTGATGGCGTTTGTCTTCCCAAGTCACCGTTACGCGTGATGGAGCCCTGCTTTCCTGGGGATGGCTGAACACCTGCCTGCCCATGGGAAGGAGTGAATGAATTCCTTGTTTTGCTTTGCTTGCATGCACGGCTTTTGCTTTACCTATTAGACTGTCTTTATCTCAACCCACGAGTTTTCTCACTTTTACCCTTCCGATTCTCTTCCCCATCCCACCGGAGGGGAGAGTGAGCGAGCAGCTGTGTGGTGCTTAGTTGCCGGCTGAAGTTAAACCACGACACTCCAGTAAATGTCGTGCCAAAAGAACTGGGAAAAGTAAAGGATGTGTTGCAGATAGCCAGGGCCACCTGTGTTAGCGTTCGTGGTGCAGGAGGCAGGGGAGACAAGCCTTCAGCTGTACTAGAGTTGGGAGCAAATTGGTACAAAAAGCCCAGATCAAAGATGGGGAGAAACTAAGAGTGAGAACTACCTACAGGGAGAACAACTGTGAGTGTAAAGACTGGGACTGAGAGCTAAAGACAGAGCTGGCTAGGCAGGCAGGGAAGGCCTGGGAATCAGTGCAGCAGACAGGTAACTAGGGGAAAATGAAGAAAATCTGAAAGGGATTTGTGGAGAGTGGGACAGAATTGGCTCTGGCCAAGCACAGGGGCCAGGACAGCCAACAGACTGTCCCAACAGACAACCCCGAGACTGACTGAGTTACCAGAGCAGGAGACTTGGGATGCTCAGATGCAGCACTGTACTACCCTTAACCAAGTGCTTGCTAGAGATCAGTTCAACCCAAGTATTTCACAAGCTGAGGGTGCAGAGGTGAGCACCAAACATCCCGCCTGTGCTGATGGCCCAAATGGGTATCAGTCTGGACAAAAAAAAATTAAAAGCCTGGCGTTGTGTAGCAAAGGAGAATAGTGTCTGTTGGATCACTGCTTCAGCTGTTGCAAGAGTTGGAAGCTATAAAATGAGTGAGCCAGAAGATTACAAGAAGTGAAAATAAGGCGTAATGGCTGAGGCAGTTGAAGGCTACGTGGGAAACTGATTTCCATATGGGCTTCAGTCACAGAATGCCAGGCAAATCACTCCAACCCGCATTTAACCCTAATGACCATTATTTGCATGCTCTTTTCTCTCTGAGCGAACAGCCTGGCTTCATGGAAGTCTGAAATGCAGGACTAGGTACCCACAGCTGTCACTGAAGCCAACAGGAACTCTACTTTGAACAGTCCAAGAAGTGTATAATACTAATCTGTCTGAAAAACCAGTTCCTTGGCATTTCCAGTAGAAGACCCCATAATAGACAGATAGTGTTTGGCTTTAGGTATTTTGTTTTATCACCTTCTCTCTGTGGGAATTATGCACATCTCAGGGGTGAAAACTAAATGTTTAATGTTGTGAAGCGCTCAAGATGCAACAGTGATGAGATCCACAGGCAACATCCTAAGGGATAATTCTTCTCCAGAGCTGGGGCAGGACAGCACACAGTAAACAAGGTGTATATTGAACTGGGAAATATTATTTTCTTAGAGTATACGCTGCCCTTTGTGTGCACTGACCGAGGCAGGTGCCCTACAGACGAAAAAAAATTTTAAAAACCTGTTACTGTGTAATTAAAAACTGGGTTATGATGCATAAGCACAAAGAAAGAAGAAATAGACTTGCTCTGATGGTCATAATTCTGAACAAGTGACCTTGCAGTCTTAATAGGCTTCTTTTAATGTTGTTTCTTGTGGTGTTTGTGTGTCCATGTGCGTCCCAGTAACTGAGAACACTCAACAGTACACATACGTATCCATTCTTTAGGTATATCTAATGTTTAATTCAGATATCACACCCAGAAAATAAACACATGCATGAACTCAACAAGAATATCACTGACTCACCATCCAGTCATTCACCTCTTTTCTGCCTCTTGTTTCTTCTTGCTGTGTCAAGTCTCTATCTTCCATACCCACCGTATTAACTTCCTCCTCTTTTCCCAGGGGCAGTTAAATGTCAGCGCCGGTTTCTCTAGGAATATGAGACTCTGTGTGTGCGCACTACTGTTTGTATTAGACACACAAGTACAGAACTGAATTTCACAGTAGCTAATACTTCATCCATGACTATGCCATTTACCTGCCAAGTACTTCTGCCTGCTCATTAAAAACAGGATCATGCTATATGAGTGGAATAAATAATGTCCTTAGGCATAATACTGTGGACACTGGTGTGGTTTTTCACTTCAGATTTGTGCAAAACTGAAGCTCCTAATTCCTTGTTTTCAGCAATTTGCACTGTTTTCACGTACCACCACTGCTGCATTTCAGTCCCATTCCTTGGATCATCCAAAGCAAAGGGTAGTTAGATAGCTGCACTGTAACTTCTGGAGAGATAGTGTGTCCACCTCACGTCCTCATCTTCCTGGGACACCAGCACCAGCCTTGCCCCAGATTCAGAGCCCTGTGGCCTGGCTACCTGCCGCGTTCAGTGGTGACTACATCCACAGAGGCAAACTGGCTAAAGGCGTTTGATAGGCAAAGGCAGAATTAGCTACTGAGTCCAGACCGAAGGCCCAAGGGAAGTCAGGAGGCAATGATTGCCTAGCACCACTTACGGGAACGCAGGCTGCTTTTGGAAAGCCAGAAAAACCAGCTGCACATTCTTTACTGAAATCCTCATGCAATTACTCCCTCTGCGTGGTTTTATCAGATAAGATTATTGAACATTAGCAGTTGTCAGCTATTTTCATGCAGCTAGGCATTTGCCTTGTGCTCCTAACAATCAACCTTTTGTTATTAACATGCCTCTAACAGAAAGGAAGAAGTATTTAAATGTACCTCATACTCAATAGGCATTTTCAAAATTTTGATTTTGATTCTTTATCTGAGATGCTCAGAAATCTATGGAGCTTAATAAAAATGTCATAGCCTAGTTTCTAGTTCTTCTGCAGGATATAATAACCATCTCCCTGCTATAGAATTAGGAAAGAAAAAGTGAAAATTTAATATAGATGTACTATAGACAAGATCTTCTCTGTTCAATTCTGTGAGCTTTGAAGGTAATTATAGCAGAGAACTTTATTTTTAGGTTTTAGTTTACTACAGAGACTTTTTAGCTTAGAATTTTTAGTTTAGTTATCTTCCACCTGTAGTGCCGGGGATAGGACTAAGGACTAAGGACTTGCTAGCATCGGTTGTCTTTAACCAGGCTGTGTTAGTACATTCGCAAACACGTTGTGAATGAGGTCTGCAGCAGGAAATCTTCCACCTAGTGCCGGGGATAGGACTAAGGACTAAGGACTTGCTAGCATCGGTTGTCTTTAACCAGGCTGTGTTAGTACATTCGCAAACACGTTGTGAATGAGGTCTGCAGCAGGAAAATGAGGAGTCTGCCAAATGAGAAATAAACGTGGTTTTGAAAGAAATATGTTTACATTTTTAGACAGAGCCTAGCAAAAAGAAATGCTGCTTTCAGCGATGACATGTGATCGCTAGACTGTCAGTTCAACCGTGCAACAGCTCTTAGAGGGATTGATAGTTAGAAAATATTTCATGATGCTTGTCAGTGAATAGCAAGGCAACCAAGGCCCCTAAACCCATGGGGTTTTCTGTAGAGTCTTGCTGAAATACATAGCATTAGCACTTTTAGAAGTGTTTTTGTCTCCTTAATTCTATTCAAAACAGATTTTTAACTGCAATCGTTTGCAGCAGTGACATTTTTAGCTGCTCCAACAGACAGGGTACAGGTGCTGCTAACTGCTACCTAAGCATGAGCAAGAATGACCTCACGCTTCTTGGTCCAGGATGCAACAGTGACCTGTCAACTTGTGTACAGGCCAACACACAAGTACCAATTCCTGAATGGTGGGAGAGAGTATCTTCGGCAATGGAAAAAGAACAAAAATTTCCTATACTGATCTTGATTTTCCTTAAAAGAAAGACTAGCAAAAATGTGTTGGCTCTTAGACGGAAATTTATCCCCTCTCTGAAATTCCTGGCTGGTGCTGTTATTGGGATGACAAGAGGAACCAGCTTGTCTATGTCTCCACCCTACTGATGCAGGAGAGAGTAAAGGCAAATGGGTCATGGAAGGGTGGATCAGGGGGTTTTTAATACTGCTGTTTCATATGTGGAAGTGAAATATGTTGTTGCATCTGGAAATGCTGGCCTGCCCAACTATATAATCACCACGCTGCTGCAAGCAAAATCTATTGTAAAGGCAGGTCTATGCTATAGGCTTCTGCCTGCATAAATATGAGGATGAGAGTGGCGGAGGGATGTGATACCTGACCCACATAGGAGTGCTAAAGAAGCTTTACTAGCATAACTTGTTTTGCTGTGGGGTAGGGAGGGGTGATAACTTTCCTGTGATGAACAACTAGACATAATTTTGCTGCTGTAAGAGCATCCTCATGCTTTGCTGGTTTAATATCACAGGATTCCCATGTGCCAAGGTACAGTGTCCCTGACGTAGGCAGAGATTAGACCACCGTGCACTTTCTAAAGGGACACAGTAAGGGAAACTCATGCCAGGCACAGGGCAAAGGAGGAAAAATGTGGAACACCTTTTAAATAAGTAGAGCTTGAAATGCTATTACATTGCAACGCACTGACAAGACAAAAAAAAAGAACTTTAAAATTAAGTATGCATGCTGGGTGTAAGTGCATGCTTTTTAACGTGATGCCTTGCATTTAACATAAGTGCCAAGACTGGAAATGCGAACTCCCTGAACATTTTTCCCTTTTCTTCCTGTTCCTCGTATGTATCTGTGGGAGTGGCTCGCGATGGGGAAGACAAAATTTATGGTGCTGTCCTGAGATGCCACATCTCCTTCAGAGCTGTCTCTCCTTGGCTGCGCCCCACAGTGCCCCAAACCTTCAAGGAGAACCTTTCAAATAAATGACAGGCAGCTCCCAAGAGAAAGGCTGCCCAGCCTACAGGGCGCTACGCAGTGTCTCCCGAGAGATAAAAGGAAGCCGGGATATATTCATTCCTGTCTTTAAGATGGTATCACAAGGGGATGAGCAGGGCTGCAGCGTGTCTGCTAAGTCCTCTGTGCAGAACTTCAAACAGACGCTCTGGAGGCGGCAGGGCATGGGGCTGACTCACCCGGCCGGCTGGGTGGACGCAGCCTGTCCAAGCACGTCTCAGCTTTCCAGCTCCTGAGTGGGTTGCCCTCAGACAGCTCTCGTCCTCAGCTCCCTCCGGGGGCTCTCACATGGCACGTTATTTTAGTAATGCTTTCGGCTTTGTCTTTTTTAGGCTCTTCCCTCTCCCCTGCAAAGCGACGGCGGGGAATTGCATGGCGACCTGCATTGCACACAGGAGTGATTGCTTTGCATTGCTACACACCTGGCTGTACCATGAGTGAGGTGTTAAGGTGCTTAAGGGTTTTAATTTAATTTAATTAAATTCTTCAGTGTTAATGCTACGGGTGTTCCTCTATATAAAATAATACCATCCATATAAACTTGATCAGCAAATATAAGGAGCCATGAAAAGTTAACACTGTAGTTACACAAGTGCTACAAAGTTATAACCACTTTATATGCTTCCTATGGGCTTGGTCTTTCGCAGAGCCCTGTTTAAGAATAAGCAAAGTTCAGAAACCCAGGCCCGTGATTTTGACAGAAGGAGGTGGCTTTCCCTGTGAGTCAGAACAGTACAGAGGAGGAGACACGCTGAGTGTGGAAGCAATGAAACTGCAGATTTTAGACAAGATTATTTTCCTAGCTTTGCCAAATTCATTTGAAACGTGCAACTACTCCCCAGAACTACATGTACACACCAAATACGCCTATTTGCAAATGAGGAACAGCACCTTCCCCTCTGACATTTATTTATGACTTTAAGAAACTGGGGGGAAATATGTAGACCCACTGGAGTCAGTAGGAAGTTTCCACTAACTTAAACAGGATCAGAGTTTCGCTCTACAGTAAGTACAATATACTGAAAATCAACTTGAAGTTATTCTTTGTTTTATGAACTAAGTGAATGAACACAAGGACTCTAGCTCTGAGCCCTTCAAGTTTTCTGCCTCTTGCATTTTGGGGGGTTGTTCACATATTTGAAAGGCTACTTTGTGCCTCAAGACTTCAAATCTTTTTCCAGTCATGTAAGTCAGCAGAAGTTTCTCATCCTCTACATATCGCCCCCACAGTCTAGGTGTGTCCAGACTAAAAAATATCCCTTTCATGGGGGGGCGGGGGGGAAAAATACAATTACTCCAGTGTTAACCTGTTCGTGTCCTCAGCCCCAGGGTACTTTAACCATCTGGACGGGTACTTCACTTCTGTGGTCTCTGTTACTCCCTGCCTGTCCCACTGCTGAAAGGGGCACGGAGCAGCAGTGGCCGAGGTGAGGGAAAGGACAGATGACAGCGCAGGCGTGTGACAAACTATCTGCTGTGCGTGTTTGGCTACGTTAGCTCTGCAATACACTTAAATAGACGTTTGGGGAAAACAACAAAAAATTGCATTTAATAACTGGGAAGCGACGCTGAGGAATGCACACCAAGGGCTGAAAAGTAAAGGAAACTATGTGGCAAGGGCAATTACCAGCCAGTTAATAGAAAAAATAGTTAACCTGCATTTACAATGAACATGGGTGCTACCTAATCCTTATCGTCGTCCTGTAGCAGTGGGATTTCGGTTGGGAAGAGCGTATCTGACAAAGTATTACGGTTTGCAGCAACAACTTTTCACTTAGAGATAATCTACTGCTATTCATAAACGTATTTACCTGTTAGTTCCTAGAAAAAAAAATATTAAAGGGTCATGGTATCGTCTCATTCTCAGGGGTCCTATATACGTTACAGCCTGGAAATCAAGAGGCTGATTGCCAGGAAAATACCGTGCACATAAACACCCAAAGCACCCAGCCTGATTACAGCCTTTCGAGACTTCACTGAAGCGCTCAGCAGATGCTGAAGTTGCTGTAATCGACTTCTCCGGTCTCACTGTGATGG